CTACAAGTCCCAAGATCCTGTGTTTTCCAGACACATTTCCCACTCTGTAGCAGGAAATTATGTGTTTACTCTTCACTGAACACTCGAGAAGAAAAGGGATCTCAGCATATGTCCATGAGTTGCAGAAGGACCCAACCTGAACCAGGGGCAGACTGACAACTCATGGGGCCCCTGGGCAATAGGGGATCATGGGGCCCCTGTGTCCTTGCCCAAACTCAAAAAAGCCTATGAAAAAGGTACCAGGGTCATCTCACGGGGCCCCCTACTGACCCCGGGCCCTCGGGCAGTGTCCGAGTTTCCAAATGGTCAGTCCGCCCCTGACCTGAACCCAGCTACACTGTAAAACCAGAACCATCAAAGTGGGGGAAAAAGGTTCCCGCATTCTGTGCTTACCTCAGTGCTTGATCATAACATCAAAAGGGGTTATAATTATGCATGAGGTAAGTGTGAAACGCGTGGTCCTTTTTCCCCCAATGTGGTTTTATATGGAGTTGTTAATCTGTTTTATTCAAGACAAATAAAGATGGATTTTAGTGTAGTGCGGTCATCTGGACCTTTTTTTGTATCTGTAGCACCCTCTTAGGAAATCTAGGGGGAGTTAGTTAATTCTTTTTTAGTTAGAGGCTGAATAGCAGCCTGGTGAGATAGCCAGAGGGGTCACATTTGGGTCAGGGCTGAGAAGCTCTGCAGATCAGTCCCCTGATACTTCCCCCTGATCTTGAGACTTGAAGAAGTCTTTAGAATTCAGTGGGAAGGGGCGAGGAGGAGCTGGTCTGCACTCTCAAGGGATCCTAGCCAATCCCCAAGCAGGAGGCTTGGTGTGGGGTCAGGACAGCCCTTAAAAGTGGGTGAGCCTGCTCAGCAGTGGGAGAGTTCGGGTGCAAGATGGAGTGAGCAGGATGGTGTGTGGAGCCTGGAAAGGAGTCCAGGAAAGGGGCCTACCTACAGGTGGAGGAGCTGGAAAGGAGGATCTCTAAGCTTCATTGTTCCCTGAGAGAAGACAACCTGGGAAGTAGGGAAAGAGCCAGCCCAGCGTAAGGCCTGAAGGTAGCCACCAACTCACAAGCTTGCAGGAGAGGACTGGGTGAGTAACCCCACACCCCCTGGGCTTGATAAGGGAAAAGGGCATTCTGGTGGGAAACCCGACTAGCCCCATCTGGGACTGCTGATCTTAAAAAGGCAATTCTAGGTCCTCTTGCCCAGGGATTTCCCTCAGACAGCTGGGTGAAGAGGAGATTTCATCTGGGGTTTGAGGTGATATACAAGGAGAGGCTGGATCGCTCTCCAAGAAGAGAAAACCATTCTGAACACTTGTGCATAGTTCCAAGAAAGTTGTCCTCAGTTCAACAGTTCCTTGGGCATCCAATATATCCCTCATGCCCATCCAAGTTTCAATCCCCTAATAAAATTAAAAAAAAAAACAAGTTCAAGGACTGTTTACTGTCTCTGGAGTGCAAGGCTGGAAGGAAATGCTTGTTGCCTGGCTGTGCAGGACTATAGGGGGACCCAAATCTTCAGCAACTCCTAAGGGGGTAGTGCTTCATCTCATTGCACTTCACAGAGCAGATCTGCCTGCTCACCATCCTGGCATCATTTGTAGAGATCCAGAGCTCCTGGCAGGAGTGGGAGAGCCCCAAACCCACAAAGCAGTGGTGTCCTGCAGTGGAAGCATTACCAACGTGTACTGTAAAAGTGGTCTAAAGCCACCTAGATCTCTTTTCACAAATGCCAGGAGCTGGCCGAAGAAGACTGACACTAGTTCATGGCTGCTACTGTAGCCATGAGCTTGGTTTAAGCTCTTTAGACTTTGGAGGTACCAGACACGTGCACGGTTCTATCATTTTTTTTCTTTTAACACCAACATCTACAGTACATACCAGGGGTGGACTAACCATTTGGAAACTCGGGCACTGCCCGAGGGACCAGGGTCAGTAGGGGGCCCCATGAAATGCCCCTGGTACCTTTTTCATAGGCTTTTTTTGAGTTTGGGCAAGGACACAGGGGCCCCATGATCCCCTAATCCCTGGGGGCCCCATGAGTTGTCAGTCCGCCCCTGGTACATACATGTATAGCAGATAGATACAATTGTGATCTGGTGACCATAATGTTGTGCCTCCATCCCTATTCAATAGGTACACAAACCCAATCAATCGCCCATAGGACTGGGCAATTAAGTGAGGCACAACACGTAAACAGATTATATGTAAAATGTCAGTTTATTGAACAATACATGAATATCTCATAATATAAATTGCAAACCGGTTAGTTCATTATATCCAGCGAACATCAGCCTAGGGTACACAATGTATGGATATAATTAGTCCACACAGATATTCCCACATAACCTAATTACTAAAAAAAGGAGTGGGGTGCATCCTACAGTTCACACACATAGCGACAGAAGGAGACCACAAGCAATAGACAAATAGTAAGAGTAGAAAAATGGGTGATAAAAATTTGGAAAATTAAAGGGGGGATTCATTACATAGTGAATGACAGGAGAGACAACAGTAAGGCCACATTCACACCTGAGTGCTTTGAAACCCGAAGTGCAAAGTTCTGAAATGCTCAACATCTGATTTCCATGGTTTTCAGTTCTGCCTGTTCACACCTGAAGTATGTAACGCTTACCCCCCAAAGGAGCTCTAATGAATAGATCCAAAAAATAGAAAAATGCCACAATATAGGTGGATCACCCCATATAGTTACTCTCTGACTAGATCCCCTGGCTTCAGATAACAGCAACCCTTTTAGTAAAGCGGCACCCCCTGGCACACCAAGGTTAAGGAAAGAGGGTTTATTTTGGAAGACGCTCCCTTCAGAGTAACAAACAGAATGGAAATAGCAATAAGAAATAACAATTAGCGATTCTGTTTAACACCACAAACGAGTGGACCTCTTTAAGCATCTCTGAAACTCCCAGAATCTATTGAGATCTTAACTTAAGGGCGTTACTGAAAACTAAAGGTCCTTCCAGGGGCAGACTGACAACTCATGGGGCCCCCGGGCAATAGTGGATCATGGGGCCCCTGTGTCCTTGCCCAAACTCAAAAAAGCCTATGAAAAAGGTACCAGGGGCATCTCATGGGGCCCCCTACTGACCCCGGGCCCTCGGGCAATGCCCGAGTTTCCAAATGGTCAGTCCGCCCCTGGGTCCTTCCATCTCTTAAGTCCCCTTTTACTGGTCAGTGTAATTATAATGTTGGGCCCCAATGTTCCTGTGCTGGCGTAGTACCCTCCTAGTTGGCTAGGGGGAGCTAGATGATTATTTTTTTATATACAGAAAACTGAGTAGCAGCCAGGGAGAAATAGTCAGAGGGGTCAAATTTGGGTCAGGGCTAAGAGACTCTGCAGATCCACTCTCTGATACCTCCCTTTGATCTAGAGACTTGGAGAAGTCTCTAGAACTCAGTGGGTAGGGGCGAGGAGGAGCTGGTCTGCACTCTTAAGGGATCCTGGCCAATCCCCAAGCAGGAGGCTTGGCATGGGCTAAGACAGCCCTTAAGAGTGATCGAGCCTGCTCAGCAGTAGGAGAGTTTAGGTGCAAGATGGAGTGAGCAGGATGGTGTGTGGAGCCTGGAAAGGAGTCCAGGAGAGGGGCCTGACTACAGGTGAAAGAGCTGAAAGGGAGGATCTCTTAGCCTCATCGTCCAATGAGAGAGGACAGCCTGGGAAGCAAGGGAGGAACCAGCCCAGCGTAAGGCCTGAAGCAGCCACCAACCCACAAGCTTGCAGGAGAGGACTGAGTGAGTAATCACATACATGCCCTGGACCAGATAAAGGGAGAGGACATTCTGATGGGAAACCTGACTAGCCCCCAGCTGGGACTGCTGATTCTAAAGTGGCAGATTCTGGGTCCCCTTGCCCAAGGATTCCCTCAAGCAGCTGGGTGAAAAGAAAATGTAATCTGAGGTCTGAGGAAGTACACCAGGAGAGGATGGATAGCTCTCCAAGAAGAGGATTTTTGTCTAATGGACTTGTACACAGCTGTTAAGGAGTTTATCCTCAGTTTACAGTTACCCTGGGCATCCCATACACCCCTCTACCTCGTTCAAGTTCAATACCCCTTAAAAAAAAAAAACAAGCTCAAGGACTGTTTACTGTCTCCTGTGTTCAAGGTTTGAAGGAAATGCGGGTTGCCTGGCTGTGCAGGACTATAGGGGGACCCAAATCTCTAGCAACTCCTAAGGGGGTAGTGCTACACTGGAGTGTTCAGGTTTAGGTAGGTCCCACTGTACAGGGTGTAAATACTCAAATGGTATCCCAAGGCAAGGCGACACTGTCCCTTCAAGAAGTAGGTAAGAAGGTTGTGGTCAGCGACCTGTCACCACCAAGCATTCTTCTCACGCCTCGCACTCTCTAGCTTTTTGAACTGGTGATGTTAGCAATGACTCATGACCCAGCAATGTTGGTTTTTCTTGGAACTAGTGATGTCAGCGGAAATCCAGGACCCGGCAATGGTGCTCTCCCATGGAACCAGTGATGCTCTCGGACAGCTGTGATCCCTGTTTAGATGTGGCAGCCCAGTCCCTCTCTCTGACATTGTGGCAGTACATTAGAGCAGACTTTCTCAACTGGGGTGCCTTGAGGTTTCTTCAGGGGTGTCTTGGCAAAATGTCTAAAAGTTGCACAAAAAAGTGTACACAAGCCAGCGGGTGGAAGAAACCTGACTGTTTAGTTACTCAAAGCCACAGGTTTTCATTGTGCACCACTACGACCTTCTAGCCACCGGCGTCCTGACAACCACTGACATCATCAGTTGATAAGATGTCAGTTGTCTACACAGCATCCTTGTTTGACCCTCCCCCCCCACCCCTCTCCATCAGTGCTGGGGTCACACTGGCTCAGTGATGGAGTAAAACTGAGAGGAACACTGTAATACTAGTCAGGACCAATGTGTAAAATGTATTTGATTTGGAAGAATAAATCACTTCTAATGTTGGGTCTCCTAGATGTGTGGATGTTGCTGCATTATATAAAGCTATTAGAATAGTTTTTATACATTTTAGAATGGGGTGCCTTGGGACTATCCATAATTTTAGTGGGTGCCTTGAAATTGTCCATAATTATAAAGGGTGCCTTGTGATTGTCCATCATTTTAGTGGGTGCCTTGAAATTGTCCATAATTTTAAAGGGTGCCTTGGGACTGTCCATAATTTTTAGAGGGTGCCTTGAAATTGTCCATAATTTTAGAGGGTGCCTTTAACTTGTCTATAATTTTAGAGGGTGCCTTGAAATTGTCTATAATTTTAAAGAGTGTGTTGGGATTGTCCATCATTTTAGTGGGTGCCTTGAAATGTTCCATAATTTTAGAGGGTGCCTCGGGACTGTTCATAATTATAAAGGGTGCCTTGGGACTGTCCATAATTTTAATGGGTGCCTTGGGACTGTCCATAATTTTAATGGGTGCCTTGGGACTGTCCATAATTTTAGAAGGTGCCTTGAAATTGTCCATAATTTTAGAAGGTGCCTTGAAATTGTCCATAATTTTAGAGGGTGCCTTGAAATTGTCCATAATTTTAAAGGGTGCCTTGGGATTGTCCATCATTTTAGTGGGTGCCTTGAAATGTTCCATAATTTTAAAGGGTGCCTTGAAATTGTCCATAATTTCAAAGGGTGCCTTGGGATTGTCCATCATTTTAAAGGGTGCCTTGGGATTGTCCATCATTTTAAAGGGTGCCTTGGGACTGTCCATAATTTTAGAGGGTGCCTTGAAATTGTCCATAATTTTAGAGGGTGCCTTGAAATTGTCCATAATTTTAGAGGGTGCCTTGAAATTGTCCATAATTTTAGAGGGTGCCTTGAAATTGTCCATAATTTTAGAGGGTGCCTTGACTGAAAAAAGGTTGAGAAACACTGCATTAGAGCATGCAGCTCTCAACTACAGCAGTCAACTCTGATGATCTCACATCCCCACAAGACTTCCCCAAGCATGGGCTTCTCTGTTCTTTTTTCCTTCTCTTGCAGCTCAGCTCTCTTTCCTCTTGGGACTTCCCATCCAGTCCCTTGGCTTGCTAGATAACTAGTAACTGTCTCCTAGGGACCCCACCCCCCATTGGTTCCAGGCAGTTATCAGCAGTCTATTTCCTTTCCCAGGCTGCACAGCCATTCCCAGTGCCCTCTGCTGTTCTAAGTGGTGGACGGGCCTCCCCTCTCTCTCTTTCTCTCTCCTCCTCTCTCAAGCAGTTGTTCCTTCATTCCCTGGCACCCAGGCAGAGGGAGAGAAGCTGTGTGGAACATTTTCAGTGGCAGCCCAGTCCATGCAACCAATGGGTAGCGGTCACAGTACATGCTGGGCGGCTGAGACCCAAGGCTACAAGTACATGAGCTTCTTTTGAGCTACAAGCTCTATGGACTTCAATGGCACACACACAAGAAACATGCAAAACTGCAAATATCAGTGCATTTTTCTCCCTGATAATTATCTTTCTATTGGCTAAAAATAATTTTAAAAAAAGCTTTTGCTTCGGACGCCCACAAAAACGCTCAAAAAATGCTTATATATATGCTAAAAAAAAAAATCTGTAAACCAGCCAAAGACGCTCAGCTGAAGTGTTAATGCAGCCATAGTAACAAGATGTTCAAACCATAAAACAAGAAAAAATCTACACAATCTTCATCATGGAAAACATCTTTATAGTTGGGAAGATAAAAATATCGGGTGGGAGATGAATTGTTACTACCCCCGGCTGACAATTCGCACTTCATATAGGCATTTATCTCTGTTCTAGACTTCACAAAATGACTGTCAAGGACCATGGTAAAGGAAATCAGAAAATGTACAGAAAGCCTGTTGATAGGTGTCCAATGGCACGGTAGCTGGCTAATTACATATCAGACCGCGCTTTGTATTAATGAAGGAATTTCAGCAGGAATTCATTGTGAAGATGGAGCTCAGCCTGGGAAGGGTTTTGCAGAAGTGATAATTAGAACATTACTGTTCATTTATACGGTAATTTTCTCAGGGAAGATGAAGTGCTCAGTTAATTGGCAGAATGTTTCAGCTCTTTCCAAGCTCAGATGTGACAAGAAACTTGTTGACTCTGAATTGGTCTTCAGGGATCCATTTAATGTGTCATTCGTGCCAATATAGCCCTACCCCCAAAGGGTCCGCACTAGTTTCCACAGGTTCTTTCTCAAAACAGTGCAAGGCAGCCAGACACACACAACAGTTCATCCACTCCAACTCAATAACCACTTCCAGTCCGGACGCTTTCACCCCCTTCCAGTCCGGACAATTTCACCCCCTTCCAGTCCGGATGCTTTCACCCCCTTCCAGTCCGGACGCTTTCACCCCCCTTCCAGTCTGGACGCTTTCAACCCCCTCCAGTCCGGACCCTTTCCCCCCTTCCAGTCCAGACACTTTCCCCCCCTTCCAGTCCGGACGCTTTCACCCCCTTCCAGCCCAGACACTTTCCCCCCCCCTTCCAGTCCGGGCTCTTTCCCCCCCTTCCAGTCGGACGGACACTTTCCCCCCTTCCAGTCCCCTTCCAGTCCACACTTTCCCCCCCTTCCAGTCGGGACACTTTCCCCCCTTCCAGTCCGGACACTTTCACCCCCCTTCCAGTCCGGACACTTTCACCCCCTTCCAGTCCGGACGCTTTCCCCCCTTCCAGTCCGGACGCTTTCACCCCCTTCCAGTCCGGACGACTTTCACCCCCCTTCCAGTCCCGGACGCTTTCACCCCCTTCCAGCAGTCCCGGACACTTTCCCCCCCCTTCCAGTCCCTTTCCCTCCTTCCAGTCCGGACGCTTTCACCCCCCTTCCAGTCCAGACACTTTCCCCCCCTTCCAGTCCGGACCCTTTCCCGCCCTTCCAGTCCGGGACGCTTTCCCTCCCTTCCAGTCCGGACGCTTTCACCCCCCTTCCAGTCCAGACACTTTCCCCCCCCGGACGCTTTCACCCCCTTCCAGCCCAGACACTTTCCCCCCCCCCCTTCCAGTCCGGGCTCTTTCCCCTCCTTCCAGTCCTTTTCAGACACTTTCCCCCCCTTCCCCCTTTTCCAGTCCGGACACTTTCTCCCCCCTTCCAGTCCGGACACTTTCACCCCCCTTCCAGTCCGGACGCTTTCACCCCCTTCCAGTCCAGACGCTTTCACCCCCTTCCAGTCTGGACGCTTCACCCCCCCCCCTTCCAGTCCGGACGCTTTCACCCCCCTTCCAGTCCGGACGCTTTTCACCCCCTTCCAGTCCGGACGCTTTCACCCCCTTCCAGTCCGGACGCTTTCACCCCCTTCCTTCCACGCTTTCACCCCCTTCCAGTCCGGATGCTTTCACCCCCTTCCCCCCAGGCCAATTTTCAGCTTTCAGCGCTATCACACTTTGAATGACAATTGCGCGGTCATGCAATACTGTACCGTATGAATTTTTTAGCATTTTTATGAGTCAGATAAAGCTTTATTTTGGTGGTATTTATTCACCGCTGGGATTTTTTTTTTTTTTTTTTGCTATGTAAATGAAAATGTCCAAAAATTGTGAAAAAAAGTGTTTTTCTTATAATATTTTGCAAATAAATAATATTTCATCATAAATCTCGGCCAAAATTTATTCTATTATCTTTTTAGTAAAAAAAAAAAATAACCCAAATTAGTTTATAACCAAAAATTATAATTTTTAAACATTTTTTTTTACATTTTTATTTAATTTTTTTATATTATTATTTATGTTTTTTTTTTTTACATACTGTCACCCTAGCAGTACAGCGTCGCCATAGTGACAATGTACTACTTGTGGGGGTGATGAATATATTTTTTTTATTTTTACACTGATTGCTTTTACATCCATAAAGGCTGTAAAAGCAATCATTTCTCCTTCTCTCTGGCTGCATTCTTGCAGCCATTGAGAAATACTGTGTGAGCTGTGATTGGTCACAGCTTGTTACATGGTACAAGGCTGCTGTGAATAGCCCTGTACCATGTGACCTCTGTGATCATTCACAGATTTCATGCGTAGTAAGCAATGATGTCAGAAGTGACATCTTGCTTGCTACTCTTGATGTGTCACTGATTGGCCAATCAGTGATCACATGATCGGGACCTCGCACAGAGGTACCGTCCGACGATCGGTGTTCCACTGTGTCCGGAGGACACAGCGGGCACTGGATTGCGGTGCTGCGCGCTCCCAGGGAGTGCGCACAAGCAGGGTGCGGGGAGGCCGTTTATAAACGTCCACCCGCCCCTGCACTGCCACCGTCCGGCTGTTTATATACAACGGCCGGATGGGAAGTGGTTAATCTCAGTCGGGGGTTACCTTGACTGGGGTATTGCCTATATCTCAGCTGCTATGACACCACCCACTTCTAAGGCCATCCCCCACCTACCATTACCATTTAAATAAAAACACGGAACACTTGACTTTGGAATTTTGAATGGCCATAGCAGCCAGTTTATTTGAATAACATCCATAACAATAATACATCATTTTTCATCATAGATAAAAACCATAACAAAACACCGCAAATGATAGGCTTTAGGTTTTTTGAAGGCACAGAAAAAAAAATCACCGGCTGTATCTGCCGCCATCTTCCAAATTAAGGCCCCCCCCGCCGCACATACACCGGCTCAGGGCAACTCTCTACTAAGGCACTCTGGCAGGACTGTTCCGCTGGGCTTCCTCGTGCGGAGCGATACGTCTCAGCCAATGGTCCCCTTTTCCGGCAAGTCTTCCAGCGCTCTGCCAAGGCGGGTATTAGAGCTCAAAGACAATCCTTCCTTGCTATCCCAAACCACGAGTCGGAACTTCGTGTAGGGTGAATGAATCCTTTATTGAACACAGCTCAGTATATACAGCACATCCTGGCAGTAATCCCTGCCCCCCTAAATCCCCAGCAGACAGTCCGGGACCTGGTTTTCTCCACCCACAACAAAACTCTACAACACAACAGCAATCAGCACAATATGAAATCTAGAGAAGTGAAAGACTACAAGTCCCCATTCCTCTAAACAAATGTGTAGAATGCCTGTCTACATAACAGCTGCTAAACATATACAGCTTTACCAAGGGGGGAACGGGAAGACCACTTACCAAGGGGAGAACGGGAAGACCACTTACCAAGGGGAGAACGGGAAGACCACTTACCAAGGGGAGAACGGGAAGACCACTTACCAAGGGGAGAACGGGAAGACCACTTACCAAGGGGGAACGGGAAAACCACTTACCAAGGGGAGAACGGGAAGACCACTTACCAAGGGGGAAGAACGGGGGGAAAACCACTTACCAAGGGGGGAACGGGAAAGACCACTTACCAAGGGGAACGGGAAACCACTTACCAAGGGGAGAACGGGAAGACCACTTACCAAGGGGAGAACGGGAAGACCACTTACCAGGGGAGAAGGGGAAGAACAAGGGGGAACGGGAAGACCACTTACCAAGGGGAGAACGGGAAGACCACTTACCAAGGGGAGAACGGGGAAGACCACTTAACAAGGGGAGAACGGGAAGACCACTTACCAAGGGGAGAACGGGAAGACCACTTAACAAGGGGAGAACGGGGGAAGACCACTTACCAAGGGGGGAACGGGAAGACCACTTACCAAGGGGGGAACGGGAAAACCACTTACCAAGGGGGGAACGGGAAGACCACTTACCAAGGGGGGAACGGGAAAACCACTTACCAAGGGGAGAACGGGAAACCACTTACCAGGGGAGAAGGGGAAGACCACTTAACAAGGGGAGGGGAAGAACTTACCAAGGGGGGAACGGGAAGACCACT